AGGCATAATAACAAGGCTAAATTGTCTTAATGCCTTCCATGAATTATACGTAATGCAAAACGCTATTTTAAGTGGAAATTTTCCCCGAATCAAAAGTTAGTAATAGAATTTGACATGGATGAGCGAACAAATCAAGACGGTCTTTGCCAAGATTAGCTAAGTGGATTTAGTTTAGCCCGAATTGTGGAGATCTTTTGATCCCTCAAAACGATAGTTTGAATGATTCACAAAGCATAGACACCCTTCAATGCGCCCTCTGCTACTTTCTCCTCATTTTCAACCCACCTCCACATTACAAAATATCGGATGAACCTGATGGGTGTGGTTTGACCCCGTCCACTTTACAAGCAGAGTCTAACTCTTGTCAAACATTATTCAGAGCATTTACAAAAAGGCGAGCAGTTATGCGATAAGAGAACCCATTGTCCGAAATCTGATTCAACAATTTGCCTCCATTGATGAAGCACACAAAGATGGATGCTGCAACACCTTCAGCAAGGCCCTACATTCTTGAGCATGCGCGATAGTGGACTATGTGGCCTTATGAGCACATTAAAGTAATTCAATGGGAGGATCTCACACATCATATGAGAATAGAAGGAAACTAGTGTCCCATCCTCATCATCGCCCTCCACACCCCCTCAACGATCTTTCCAAGCAATGGCTGTCACACTTTGTTCCCATTGTAAAAAACACATTATGATCAGTGAAACGAAAGAGACAAGTGTAAAATAAAACTGAGATGGAAGCAGCTGTATTTGGCCTCTGATAGCAGAGCACTTGATGCCATTAGAGTGCACGGCAAGTCTGTGTCCTATTTAATATAAGTGATGAATTGGAATGGTGATTAATTCAGTGAATGAAATACTTTGAGGACATTCTCGCATTTTATGCTTCTTATTAAACAGCTCATAATTTACCAGATTGCTCTGTATTTAGGCGATACTTTTCACTTGAATAGGCCAACTTATTTCGGGTTAGGTGCATGAAGCGTACACATTGCGGTTGAGACAAGTAGTCCAAAATCAACGCCCGGCAAAGCGTGTTAATTTACCTTGACAATATTTAGAACTAATTTTTCGTAGGACCAATTAACGAGATATCACGAATCGCTTTGTGATAATCTCACGCTTTGCGAAAACTCGAAACATTTGAAAGCAACTGTACCAGAGTCCTTGCGTCAAGGCCGTACCGCAATTGAGTCTACAACCTTTTGCCTCTCTCAACGTTGCCGCCCCTTTTTGTTCCCCTCTTATTATAATAAACCACTTTTTGCACAATCAAGGTATGGCAAACTAATTGGAAAGTTAGGCTTATTCTGGCTCTCAGCAGACGAAATCACGAAGAGAATGGTATCCAGTGCACACTGTACCCATGAGACAGCGTAAGGAGCTAGAAGTTTCCTCACTTGTGTTTTGAAAATGTGAAAATTTAGGTAAGGGTATTGATGATCGGTTGCAGCCAATGTGTGACGCGACTAACCCCGTCCGGCAAGCCGACCGATCTTGCAATCAGGCATGGCAGGGTTGCCAATCTTACCTGGAGTGAGGATGAAAAATAGGGTTCTAACATGCTACGTAGAGTAGGTGTAGGGGAAGAGTGTGAGTCTAGAGGGTTGAGACAAACGTATGCCTCCAGAAGTATACAAAACACCGTATTGGTGTAAAGGATGCAAAGTAACTCATGTCGAACTCATCAAGAGGACGCGCAATAAAGTTCTAAAGAAACTTATTGGGCAGAACGGACCTGTGAACGGCCCGATTATATTTGCTTAAAAGTTGTCATTGACAAAGAGGTGAATTGTAGCGAGAATTTGTTTATTTTTCATCGCGATCGCAAATTCATACAGATTTATAGGCCTCGGGTGTTCACTTTTAACATTTGCCCTAGCACTGGCTTTCTCAGTGTCTTACCAATCACTCGTTATTATGTTGGCATGAAGCTCTACCACTTCGATTTACTCATCCTTCCCTTCACTCTGCTAGTCAATTATTAAACTATCATTTTAAATGTTATGCCTCATTTGGTATTCAGAGATAACTCATGAGCTGTGTTACATGCAAAGCAGTCCTATAAAACCTACCGAACTGGCGCAATCTGATATCTTAAGGTGAAGCCTGATAAAGTTGTTCATTCCCGTGGTACATTTGTTATAGAGCTCTACCAGTCGTCGAACCGTCAGAAACTTGTAGATATTCAAGCCCCTCTCCAGTAGCAGTTGCACGAATTCCAAGCGATCGTCAATAAGGGCGCTTGTCATTGCATTTTCCAGGATCTTATTCTAGTTGAAAAGTTGGCATTTGATGGAAGTTTGATCAATGTAAAGCTCGTACTACCTCGACAGTCTTTAAGGGGGACGCATGCACGGGCAATGGTTAGTTATGGGAGTAAGAAACGAAGGGATGTGCACAGCCAAATAACAATTGAAAGATGCATTGGTCCACTTTGTAATCAGATTTGAATAAAAATGCAACTTTTTTCGGAGCTTAAGCGATCAGTTTAAAAAATGTGATCCCTGTGAAGAGGTAATTTTAGCAACTATCAAACGGAGAGATCATTAACGACCATGTTGATTGTACAAAAGAGGCAAGAAAATGAAAAGTGGCCTAAATTTCTAGCATTCCTTGTCAATTTATCACTGGAAAATGAAACATGACTGGGGCTGAAATACACCTTTTGCATGTCAACACGTGCCTGAAACGTTATGTACCCAACATTTACTGCAATGACTTTAAAGAAAGTTGAGAACAGGAACGCCATCACAATGTTGAATAATTGAAATGTACGGTGTAGACATGGGGTTTGATACCGATGCTCGATCAAATAACACATTTCTTAAAAGGGTTTCTAGTTCACTACGAAGAACTAGTGCCCCAAGATTGGGGACAGAGTAGTCAGTTGCAAATCTTATCAATTCCGACATTGCAAATGCACCAGCCCGTGTCCAGATGAGATACCAAGTTCCTATTGGTCAGAATAGCGTTACAGTTCGCTGGCAATACCACCAATACAGGCGTCTCCTATGCCAGCGATAAAAGGATGGGCAACTTACCGACCAGTCATTAACATTGACAAGAATTTGTGATCTCGCAATGTCAGGACGTTCCCATGCCATGGTGAGTGAAAGCCGGTCCAGCGGCTTCAGGTCCTGTCCGGGAGCTGAGACAGAGGAGAAAAGGGAGACCTCAATCCAGTCCCTTATAGAACCATTCCACGAAATTCAGCAAATAAATAAATTTCAGTGACTCAATTTAGGTGCCCCAATTTGCCTCTCGCTTCTTTCCTTGGAGCTTAGCAAGGTTCCTGATTGGTACTGTGGATCTACCAGACGAAAAGTACCCGAGTTGATAGTGTTGCTTCGACCCTCACCAAGATGACGATATCTCGCTTATTTCGAACACCATTGCCCACTTCGAGAGAATGCTTTGAAACTTCACAATCCAGCTTGTACAACTGCAAGATCTCCGATTCACGCACCACTTAACTCTTTCCACATTCTCATTCCGCGTTCACTATCTACATATAGATACATGTTTATGCAGGTTTAGCTGTTGGCTCATCATTATTGCTAAAACAGCATGTTGGATCTACTCTCGATTGCTTGGCACGGCACTAGAAATAGCTCTACCGTCAATTCCATCGTTACGAGTTATTCGAAAGTGCTGCACACATTTGGAATATCCACTGATTCCTTTACTACAAGTAAGAAAAAAGCTAAATTCTCATCGAGTACCACGATTATTGCCAACCAAAGAATTCGATCGAATGGTGACAGTTGGATTAATTGAATAAGAGGGTGGTTGATTGGTCAGGTAAACATCATCCTTCCTTAAGCGACGAACGACCTACTTGAGGAGGCATGGCACTGGTCGTGACGCTTGAAGCTGTGAGTAGCGTAAATGTCATGAGCATTTATTCCTGAGGACTAAAGTGATGGAATGAACACCAGCAAAATCCATGGGTCTAGCCCAGATCCAGTCCGTATATTTCATTAAATAACAACTACCTACTACCCCAATAGCCAACCAATGACTTTAAGGAAGAGGTGGCAACAAAAGATGACGTTCAGAAGAGAGTGAGAATTGAATCAAATCGGGTGCCCCTGTTACAGATTTGGTATTTATCTAAACCACGAAAAAGCCATTTACAAACTCCTACGTTGCGCATGCGAAAGAGCAAAGCTTTGGACTCACCCTGAAGCAGTGCAGTTAGAATAGTCAAATCAATTTCGTCCGAGGCTCCATCTCCCATCCGAAAGACGCTCATCTGAATATTTATGCAAACAAAAAAATATGAGAGGCTAACGAAATTTCACTCTTGCAAGCGAAAAAGAACACAAATTATAGTGCTAATCTGGTACGCTAAAGAGAGTGCCTACTCCCATCGTGTCGGAAATGAAAACAATGGATAAGATACTACTTTTAAAAACTAAACTAGCTCTTACCAACACTTGACATTTCTGAGATCCATTTTATCGTTAGATAGACTGTTGCTTTACTTCTAAGTATTATTACTGCTTTTTTCATTTTTGTCAACTGAAACTGAGTAACTCTCCTAACGCAGTCAACACAGCCCTTCTCTTGAAATAGGCCAGTCCAAAGCACTAATTGATTTGGTTAACATTTGACACCACAAGTCTACCCATTTAACGGGGATCCGAATTAATATGCATTTCCTTCTTACACTTTGCAAGAAATTACACCTTGAGGGTATCACTCAATGGCTACATTGCCCAAGAGTCCTTCTTCCATTGCGTTATGACCCCATGTCGATTATGAATGGCTTTGATCTTGCTATCTACTATATCACACTTCCAGTTGATGCGGACTAATTTACGAGCCATTTTCGTTCCCCTGTCACAATACGAAATTTGCCGAAAGTGCTATTAATTACAAAGAAGTTGATTGGTTCAGCAGGAATGGTTGCATAAATCTCAACGCAGCAGCAGTTGTTGCACTTTCTTTTCCGTAGTCATGGGGACAGCTTTGATCAGATAATTTTTAAGTGTGCCAAAGCAAAACCTCTGTTAAAGGCACAAGCATTTACAGTTGACTTTTATAGAGGTGGTAGCACTTTTCAATAATCTTCTTCCCATCGATCCTAAAAATTTTGCACTTATTCGCCGTCTTTTTGAAAGCTCAGTAGGACACCTGCGCGAGTTCAACTATGTTCTGAGAAAACAATGCTCTGGGGTCTACGTGTCGGTTTACGCACTCACTTTCTCTTCAATAGTATGTACAGCTTTCATTATACTATCTGCGATTAGGCGCCTCCGTCTCTTCAATAAAAATGACCTGTAAATGCTCCAATACGGACATTGTTGTCCTCCTGGAAACATTTCTCATCTTAAATAATCCATTTGAATATCAACACGCATTGGAAGTCACCGTTGAGCTTGACTAAACGTAATGCCTAACTGTAAAATGCACGTACGATCTCGTTGTGGTAGGCATCAGCTGAAATATCATTCAGTTTTATCTGAATGGAAAAGGAATGACTTACGAGGTGACAAAACTTCATACACAAATTCATGTCCGAGTAGACACTTTCCGCCATGTCATTTCCTAACTGGAAGGTTTTTTCAATGCTGGCAATCATCGCTCTTCGTAGATTTGGTACCAGGTCTCTGCAGCAAAGGAAAATTACTACTAAAAATTAGTTTACCACATGTCTCTCTCAATTTATTACAATTTCCTTGACAGGGCAGCATTAAGACCTGACAATAAGCTGGGACATATTTGTGAGGCGTGCCCAGATTTATCCATTCATCCATTTATCAAAGGAGTGACATAACGAATTTCAAAGATTACTTTACCACCAGTAGAATAGGCAAGTAGAGTTAAAATCCAACTGAATGCAATGCAAGCAGCTTTGCTTCTGGTACCAGAACAAAAGCAGTGCTGTGTAGAAATGAGTCCACTCATCGAGAATGCTAATGCAAAATGAGCTCATCCTCTGGCCATGATTTTGAATAAAAGCAGGTCTCAAGCACGGACTGATCAATTAACGTCAACAGTTCTAAAACTGCAGAGATGACTTCAGGAACCATGTCAATGCGAAAAGACTTCTTAACAATGCTGATAGATGAAAGAAACGATTGGATTATCTGATGCAATGGAGGGGGTGGGGCTGAATGTTGCTACTGTTAAACGAAGGAGTAGAGAACCGGAGAGGGTGAGGCAGCCGGCTAAATGAGTGGGTACACAGAGTGTTTGATTTTATCAGTTCAGAATTGTAAAGTTGTTGGATAATGAGCAAAGTAGACGACAAGGTCTATTGAGAAGAGGTGGTAAAATTAACTTATTCTCTATTCACAGCCCCCACGAAGATTAACTGGAGCAGTGGGGAATATGGGAAAATAAGGAGGCCGCTTCAGGAGTTCCGAAAACATGAAAACTTCTCAACGGTTCGGCCATGCGAAAGAGCTAGACAGAGCGTCTAATAGACTCGTCTTTACCGTGAGTGCAGAAACGCAGAATCATTACCTTCAAGGCAGAAGAAGCGGGCCTGGAACAAGAAGAAATTAGTAAAAAAATCACTGGATGGAAGGAATTGTGAATGGTTACCAAGAAGGTATGATTAGCCAGGACTTCCTTAAAACCCATCAAGAGTATGTGAAATAGCAGATGCTAGTCTTTTTTAACATCCAGAGAGCGGGAAGGAAAGGGGGAAACTGATTTAGAAGAAGAAAGAGAAGATGGTGATGAAGACGAAAAGAATGCAGGCGTCAAAGGATAGAGAGGGTCACTAGGAAAATTGATCACAGAAGGCCTCACTCTTGTAAGAGTTGAGCAGTACATGAGAACGCCAGCCTAGGAGAGGAGAAATTGTGACAGAGACCAAATCACTGACCCATCAGGTCCAACATGTCGGCACATGAAGGCAAGGAGGTCCGCAGCGCGTCCGGAGCCATCGCAGATGACCACGGGAACGGGGATGCTACCAGTGAGGAGTTCAAAGACTCTGCGGAAGGTCTGGACCCCACCTTCTATCAGCACACCTACCACTGGCACTCGCGATTTGAGACCGTCTGTAGCGAACAAACGAGTAAATGTTGTCATGTGAATAATTAACCTTTGCAGCAATTGTGTGCTTAACACTTTTGCCGCATTTTCCAAGCATCACAAATCTGTTCAATTTGTTATTTGTCAATATCCTGATAACGAACTCTAGCAAAGAGCATTTCGTACAGGCTGCTTTGCGTGGAAGGCTCGTAGTCTGAGGATAAATGAATTATTGGCTCTTGATCAATCGTTGAAATGGCAAACAACTAGTCAAAATTTCTATCTTATTAAAGCAAAAATAGCATCTGGATCGTGAAAGCCGATTCTCCATCGCGATCCTCGTACCACGCGTGCTAACCGCGTGAGTTGGGTCAACTTAAGATGCACAAATGATCTAACGGGTAAACGGCTGAAAACTGGGTGAAAAGCAAAACCTCGGAGTTCCAAGAGAAATTCATTCAGCCATTTATGCTAGTTGTGCATTGCATCTAAAGCTGGGTTTATCTTCTATCCAACTTAATGCCACTGCAGAAAGATTAACAACTGTACGAAGATAACCAAGTACATTAATAAGTTAAAGCAGAAGTCTTCTTAAAAGATTTTGTCAGGCAAAACAACTAGAATTACAATCTCGAATTTTGACACCTAGATGCAAGCTTGCCACTAATTCCACTTCTGTAATCATATTTATTTCCAGATACCTTGAAAACTTAATCCTAGCCACATCAGTCTCACTTTTATCTCCAAATTGTCTATGTTGCATGCAATCATAAGGTGGCAATCATCGCCTATGATAGTTATCAGGGAAATACGGAGGAGGAAGATATCGATGCGCCTCTATCACTCTTCCGTCCTGGGGCACTGCATGAGATCTTTCCACGGAGAATAGTGGTGGCAGAATTCAACAAAGAATACCATATCAGCAGAGTAGAACGCGTCTACACTCTACGAGTTGTACTTGCGCCCGCACACTTTCTTACTCTTTTAAAGTTCCCATACGCTAGCAAGCAATTGGCAAAATCCGACATTTAACACCCAGAAATCTTAGCATCAGTGGGGCATTTCAAATTCTGAAGATTATGGTTAGAAATTCCTATAAGTACACATGAGGTCAATTCAAAAGTTGCCACAAGAGGAATCATTAGCCCATTTAATATCAGTGGAAATGGTATCAATGGTTCCGTTGTTGAGACTTTAGACCTTAAAATCAACACGATGCTGATGAATATCCATCATCAGCTAGTGGAAAGAGAGAGCTATGAACAGTGGATTTCAAGGCACCTGCTTAGCAGAAAATCAGAAATAGGTAACAGTAACTGCTTTCGGACAATTTTCAGCACTACAGTCAAAAAATAGATAAAGCTATTGCAGTTTGAAGAAACAGGGCAATTTAGGAATCATAGACCGTAATCTGTTATCTCAAACACTTTCACTGAGGTCGAATTGTTGCCTGTCGGGTCACTTACGGTATCACATTGGGAGCTGGCAGCAGTGCCTGCAGCTACAACGCTACTATGAATTTGCGAGAGTTGCGTGTAGCCAAGCCCAAAATACGGAAGTGACAAGTTGTGAGTTTGAAAGGAAGGTGTGGAAGAGGTGGATAGACATCGCCCTTACTTTATCTGTGCGACGAAATTAGGGGCAAAAGTGTCAAAAAGCAGGTGGCTTTGATCACCTTCTTTTAACTCTAGACAACAACCTTCTAGAGCAAGTTCATTCCATCACACAGTCAACGCGTTCGCTATTATGGTCTTGGGGGAAGTCTACCCACCACAGGCGAACTGGCACACATCCCCATGAATTTTTCATCAATTTTAGCTGCTGCTCAAAGATTAGCCAATGTAAATACCCCCAGCCTAAGAATATTCTCCATTTGCATCATTATTTAAAATTTAAATTGTTTTTAACGATTCTCTGCAACAAACATTCACATGCTCTAAAGAAAATAGAACAGATGTCATAATTTTGCGATGCCAGACTGATGTTAGTAATGGAGGCGTCACGCATACATGAGATTGTCGAAATAATGTGTGCATAGCATTCATATAGTAAATATGTCACTGACGCAATCAATGCCGGATTCTTTCGTCATTTCGCGGTTGCAAGTCGAGAGTAGAGTGACTCACCTAGTTTGCGTGGGCCAATACGCTCCTGCGCGAGGTACTGTTCAAGTCGACGTCGAAGACAGATTCCAGAGGAGGAGAATTTGCCCGATGTCCCATTGTCTGCCAACAGGAAGTAGTTGTGGTGCGGGTTCAGGGCTGTCTCCTGCTTGCCCGCCAACGTGCCCTGTGCGTGATACTGACAGGCGTGCTGTGGTCAAAACACAGACAATAGTCAAATCAAACCAATTTAGCGTCAAGCAGGAGCACGTTTCTTTACTGGTCACTTGCGTCTATTTTATTTCATTAAGAAAAAGTCAAATCTCAGTGTGCAATAAATTGTTTCGCAGTTTATCGAATGTATTTGGTGCGGCACATACATTTGCTTGTGGCTTGATTATTCAGAGTTTGAGGGGAATTCCAACAACACCAGTTTAGGTGCATTAAAGCGCTATGGCTTCAAATGATGACGCCACCAACTAAGTACAAGTTAAACACTAAGCTCATCGAAAGGCAGTGCAAAATGCAGAGCACTTAAGCTCCTCTACATTTATTCATGAATGGCTCAATAATGCCTGCCTTCCTTGGGTGCTGAGTCAAGGGTTTGAGGTAAGGCATTTGCCCAAATGTAAATGAAAGATAGGATGAGCAATGGGAAGGCAAAAGACTTACATTTTTACCAATAAGCATGCTGCGCTCTTGCACCGCACCCCAGGGCGCGATACCAATGACGACGATTTTGGAGCCCCGGACGTGCACCTCCTCTCTCAGTGCCTCGCCCACGAGCCGTGTCACGCCTGCAGTGTGGTAGGAGCGAAGAAGAGAAAACGATGTAAGAAAGAAATGAATCCAGTATGAAGTGCCGTGAGGTAATACTAGATCCTGATTAGCTTCCAGTAGCGCAGGGCGTTAAGACGCCTGGTGTCACTTAGGCGGGCATGCTCCTGGCTTTCCTCAAAGGAACCTTCGTACATTACCTCAAATTCACCTTTTATTTTACCGTGACAGCAGTCAAATCTTCTTAATGGTCGTTGTTCCCAATCGCTGCACAATTAAACAAAGTACCTCTGTACTTGAGCAAAGCTACATTTCGATTGAGTAGCAAGGAAGGGCTGCGCATACAACGTCAGAATTAGTCATTTGACGAGGTGACTTACCGCAAAAACTGTCATTTTAGTTTCGTCAAGGTTAATTTGTAGGGAGATTAGTTCAGGTATTTAAAAAAATGACTCCAAATAGATACGAACAATCACAAAATTTATCCCATAATCTGAAATTGAAGAAACCCCCAGAGTGAACTCAAAATATGCTAGTAGACTATCTTCAGTTTGATATATCCAACTAACAGGTGTTTGAAGGAGACGGTTCATTGCACCGCACGTTCTGCAGTCTCTAAGCCGCCATCACGTTTTCTCGTTTGCTCTCTGCGAGACACAAATGAATCCTAGCAGGATAGCTCGGCGCCTTAAACGCGTGAATTGTTTTTATCAGTTAATGAATGTAAATAGTTGCAGAAATCATGCCCTAATTAGATCGGCTGCGTTCAAATAACTGAAACCACTGCGGGTGGCTCATGATTAAGGGGTAGTTGCCTTACTTGGCCATTGCGTCAATTCAAAGGCCCGGTAGTGAACACGTAAATGGTGCCGCATGCCTAAGGTTTATACAACTGCTCGGCTTTGTGTCCATGTTGATTTCATTGTTTTCAGACTTAGAGTACTGCAGAACCGCTGATAAGTTTTTTAGTAGATTCATGGGACTCGTGACTTCTTCACAGGTAAGTGAGACACAAAGTTGGTAGGATGCATTCGAGAAATCGCACCTATCAGCAGCACTCAATATCTTCTGGTCACATTTCTCCGAAACTTTATGGAGCTAATATCTCTGTTTGTTGGAAAATAAAACAGGATTGGAGCCCAATAATAAAGACTTTCAACTTTGTTAGCGATGAAAAGAACCATACTATCTAGCGCTCTATCAATTTAGAAGTGGTTGAAACAAAAGTAGCCAATATAGACGAAAGACAGGGCTGCGTGCCCATGGTTATTTCCAATACATCAATCACGCCAGCCATGTTCTCAAACTTCTACTCGATCTGCAGTGCACTACAATGAAGGATTCTCTAGTGAATGAGTGCCAAAATCTGACATTTACTATAAAAATAAACTTGTAAGAAACTCACAAGAAGAGGGCATCAGTACAAGACCACTGATTCTAACAAGACAGAGGGATGACAGGAATTTATTTTGTCAAAATTCGGCCTCGACTTCACCATCTACCACAGTTCGGCAATTCCTGATTTAGCGCATTAAATTATTTGCCTGCCTACAGCAGTCTCCGCTGCCCTGCTCAGTCTACCACATGGGTGTCACGCAAACTGCCATGTCATGCATTCCACTCATGTCAATTACGTTAGTGTGCACTTGGACTGCCATGGTCAATTTCTCTTCAATTTCGTTGACTGCTACGCTGCTCCCACCAAATGTCACTCGATTTTGAAAGTGCCTTTACTCCAAACATCACATGTTACTGCTTTCCTCTTCTGCGTTGTGGTGCGGTGCTAGAATCCAAGAGTTATATCATGCATCAAAACAACGACTAGAATGCCAGAATCTCTTAATGAAACCTCATCGGAGCAAACTCAAACTGCCTCTAGTTTTGAATGCATCGATATTTGGCTAAACTTACAAACAAATCATTAGAGTGTTAATCGGAAGCGTAAAAGTTAGCGAATTTGCTGGAAAAGTTGGGTGGTTGACGTGACAACACTCGGAGAAAAGCTACTTTAATGGCTTGACCCTCAGTTGTTCAAGCCTCCTGAGTTCGCCGGTCAGTATATGCACATGAAGGAGCTTACTTTGGTTTTAGCCAGATTCGAAAAATCCTTATGGATAGTCTTCTGAATACCAAGCAGAAAATAAGGCCTTCAATCTCATTCGCCAATCGTCATGGTGAACACTTACTTCCACCAAGCGCATTAATGGCGCTAACACTTTGTCTGACTTTCTCGACTCCTGAACTTCCGTAAATCATCTGGACACTTTGAATGACATTAATAAAGTGAATCGTGCCAACGTCCTCAACGCTAAGGTCAATATCAGACTTAACAATTAAATCCTTATTTACTGCCGTCACTTCTTGGCTTTTCAAGGCAATCACCCAACAGATGGCTAAAGTAAACGAGGGGCAGCTGATGCCACAGATTGATAAAATTAGCCGTGAGTAAACAGGCAGCTGGCTAGTTGATTGAAAAGTCAGCTTGACAGTCATCCGAACGATGCACTTACCAGTATCCAGACCGTCGGTGATGACCCACGCATCCGTAGTTTTGGCTGCTCGCAGCAGGCCCCGCTTCACCACGAAGCCCAACCTAGCCCGAAGCGATGCGTTGGCCAGACCCCCTAGCATCGAGATGATCAGACTGGGTATGGGCAGACGCCACTCCTGCAGCAGCAGCTGCACCACAGTCTCTGGAGGTGTCTCGTAGTTCAGCCTCACGTACTAAAACAAAAAAATGCAAACGCACTGACAACACGGGTACAAATTATATTGCTTCAGTTGTGTACTTAACTATGGATTTTTCCTCAGTAATTTACAATGGTGGCGCGGTATTTGGCTTACACCCACACCTATGCTACGTGGCGTAAATGATGTGAGTTTTTCACCCCGCAACATCACTACGAGCAGCAGACTTTCCTGTTGTGTCCTGAGCTATATGCACACAAGTCGGCGGAAGTAGCTAGGCTTGGCTACTGACGATGCTATAGTCAAAATATTAGAGATGATTTAAATTAAACTTGGACTCGGACTTTCATCAACCTAATTGCAATGCAACCGTGGTGGTAATAGTCGACAAGTGTCTCATTGCCTAAAGCCGGTGCATGTTAAGAGGCCAGACAACGCTGCCGGACGTAAATGTAACAGCGCTCGATAGTTTTATTGTAACGACTTCTGCCCTCAAATTGCACTGCGATCACATCTTTCAGTCCTAATGGTCTAAATACCTATTTTTACGAAACTGTGCAATTTTTAAAAAAAAAACTTAGCACACGCTGCAGGTTTTGGAATGATTCAATTGTGCTATTAAGCATTTCCAGTGATTTACCGAACTCTGCGATGACTGCATAAATGCGTCAAACAACAACGCATATCAAAAAGCAAAGGTGATTTCTACTCCTTAAAGTGGGTTCCTTTTCTGCCTTTTTCATGCCATCAAACACCAGGAACAATTCGGTCACTATGTCACCGCGATCGCTGCCTAAGCAACTGACGGTGTAGCGGATGAACTTGATCCACGACGCTGCCAGCTTTGTAAGGTTCATATATTGCCGTGTTCATTATTTTCATCTTTGGTCTCTAACTTTTATGACGGCTAATATTAATCAAGTGTAGAAGAGGAGCTGGTGAAAAGCACCTCACGTCGCTGTTAGCAATTGGAATTGGTGGATCCAAATTACACGAGAAGTTTTCCGCTTCACTCCACGGTTACCACATGTGAATTCTTTCATGCTACCTTTCAACATGGCTGTAGGTAGACATTCGAGGCACTGTGAATACGATAATTCGGGTGGGACCAGTATCAAACTTTTTAATTGACCCATAGATAACCCAGCAAAAAATTATTTTGTGCTTATGGCACACCTTACTAAAAAGATATGTGAGAAATCCTTAGTTCTTAGAGATGACATGTGTGAGTTCAGCAGTTATCTTCATCACAAGGAGTCACAACCATCTGACTTTCCGAACTGTTAAGAAAATTGGATGTGCAAAACGGGATTATGCCGTCATGGGGCCAAGCAAGACTGCTAATTTCTCTCCCCTCTATCTTCATCAGTTCCAAGGTAAGTGTGGAAATCTTTTAAAACTTCTTAAGGCTTCGCATCACAAATTGTCACTTTGTCAGGAAGCGCATCAAAGTGGTAGCAAATGTTGGATTTTTGGCTAAGTATATACTATTCTAGCTATTGATCCTACAAGATTACTTAAGTGTTACCCAAATTAGCACTAAACAAAGCAGCTATCAGCCCACTTATTGCTTATTTTTATAAGAGAAAGGAGTGAATACTCAAGTTTTTGTCACACTACAGCATACTCCAGCCAGCGTTGGTAAGAATGAGGCTATTTGGAAATTAATTTTTACAAGGTAGCAAAAAATGTTTAAATTGACTGAGGTATGGAGAGGTGAATAGAGGTTGGCAAAAAATTTAGAGTGGTTTTAACGGTAAAGACTGGTTAATTACCGTAAGCTTGATAAAGCATCTAATCTGTTGAAACAACCGCCATTACAATCTATCATCCTTCCAAAGGAGACACAATTTTGCTGTGAATTTAGCCTTTCCATTGCCTTTCCCCCGTAGAAGCCACGGGTAAGCCTGGTCCTATTAACATTCATTCCATCCCAGACTTATTTGCCAACTGCTATTACGTAGTCGGCAAATACTTTGCAATGCTTGCAGCAAGAGGTGGACTTCTCGCAAGTAGGCATGCTTGAATTACAGCCATTAATTTAAATTGCCAGTTTCCGACATGGGATGGGAGGCAAGTGGGGGCGAGAGCGCAACAAAAAACACCCACTTTGTGACTCATTCCACATATCACAGCACACACATAGCATTGTGGCAAGTCATACTGAAAACTGCGCTAACATCTCATTTGCTTGAGTGCGCAATTTCGATATTGCCTCTGCTGCCACCGCTGTCAAATGTAGATGCAGACTAGTACACACATCCACCAAATGTCAAGTCATTAACTGCCGTTTAAGGAATATTTGTGCCATTTGAACTAACACAAATAGTGCTTGACAAACCTTTTAAAAGGGAAGTCAGGCTGGACTAGCCATTAACAGAGAGGTGGTTTGAATGGAAAAGGAGATAAGGAATGAAAACACACCCTGGCCTTGGTGGGATGCGGTCCGCCTTGGAATTCCACAGTGCCAAAGGCTGTCGTGGGAACCTCGCAAGTGTGCCTTTTGATCTGCCATCGTTCGCCCTCCGACTCGATTTGACACATCGCAGAGCTCATACGCACAGCCCGGCTCAACGCAGGGTCGTGTTCTTCCAAGAGTCGACCACAATTGCATCTGCAAGAAGTATTATACATGGAAGAATGCTAGGAAGATCAATTAAAATAGGTTGACGAAGGGATTAAAAGCAGGAAAAAGCAAGACTGGGTGGATGAACTGATCAAAATGTGGTAAATGATAAAATAGGAAATAAATGAATTGGGGTTCTGACACCCGTGCCTGTGACGCTTATTCGGTGCACCTTTGTCTACCTTGAGGAGCAACAGGAAATATTCCTTTTATTTTGCAGATGAATGGACTCGCCCACTAATGCTTATGCCGCATATGCTACTGATCTCTTGGCCATCTCGTTCATTGCAATAAACTCGCTTCCGAAACAGAAAACCCATGTGCTTTCTCTAAGTGGTACCCAAATATACGGCGGTTAAGCCAAAATTTCCTCTGCATTAACAGTTACTCTGAAAGTAGAAATGTACTGACGAAGACCTAATTGCCGAAGGAGAAGAGATAATGAAAGGAAACACTCCTCTCTCTTAAGCCTCATGACCCAGCACAACTTATCAATGTTTTAAACTGGTACAGTTGAAGACTTGGTGCAGAGGTTGTGATAGTGCAATCTACAATGCATTTCGCTTTACATCACGTACCCATCTTGTAGGACACGTGTGCATTCTCAAGCAGAAAAGGCTTTCCGTTAGTATGCTGTCCCACTTAGATTTGCAACCGTTTAATTCCATCGGTTTAGCTCCTTCATCATCCAACTATCTGGTGTTTCAAAAGTAATACCCAAGTCAAACACTTCCTCAACCATGCCTGACGCAAATTTGAGGACAGGAGTTTGCGCAAATGTCTCTTCCGGCAATTATTTCTTCTATTTCTCTGACGTTGCCTACCCATTTAGCTTTCCAGATTCTCTGACAGTTGTACCGAGGTGCTTCACATGTTACAAGATCGTTAGTGGAGTTATGATCAAATCATACCTTGTTGCTGTACCCTAACGGCCAATTTAAGATGGTTGTTACAAGACAAATTTGCTTTTAACACTGACTTGTTTGAAACTTGCATCACCAGCATCTCCTGGAAAAGTTGATCAGCAGGATTTCCAAAAGGTGTGCTTGGCCGAAAGTTATTTCTGTTATTACTAAAAAAGTGGTAATCTACTTTATAACTGTTATTTCTACTTTGCTGTCTTATACTCAGCCAGTTTGTTCACAATACAATTTATTGCATCCATCTATCATCAAGTGGCAAAGAGGATATCCCACATATATGATGCTGGATGGGATGTAACAAATCCATCCAGCAGCCCAGTTTCCACACTGTCCTAAAGAGAGAATGGTAACTACTTTGAGTATTTCTGCTAGAAGTCTCAACCGGTTCATTTCGTGTTTCAAATTGGCCTATACATCACCAAGCCTTCCACACATTGACTAGTTTGATGGACTGTTCGTTCGTTGCTGTTCAAGCTAAATCCATCCCTATTGCACAAACTTCTACGAACAGGCAAGAATAAAAGTATTGACAAAGTTCGATGTCGGCACTACTTTTGTAAGCAGTCACCACACCAGTCTACTTCCTTTTTTCTTGTATGCACTGATGCTAGGGTAAGGAGAGTTTTAACAATTCCGCCCTTTTAGAATCAAAGGAGTCAAGCAGAGGTCATCGTTATTGACGTCAGCCTTTCTCCTTGCAGTGTCGAAAAGAGCAAAGAACTCACCGATTGGAAGAGTCGTTAGACGGAACGTATTCGACACATTTGAGTTGGGTAATTTTCTCTTCAATCCATGTAGGCTAGAAGAAAGGAGAACAAATGACAGGATTAGAGTGAATTAAACACTAAAGCAATGCTGCAGTAACCAAGGTGGAACCATTGCCTGTTATGCTGTTCCAATGCCTTTTAATGTGGTTTGAGAAAAATGATATGCGAAATGAGGCACATACAAGCTCGTAGATATTTACACTTAAGTGACTGAAGAAAGAGAACCGTCTTAGGCTTTTAACGAATATGAATTAACTACCTCTCATTAATGATCGGAATAACGTTCACTAGACATTGAATACTTTCCATTAATGTTAGGTACCCGTTTGCATAGAGAAGCCTTCGCGATGGTGTGTTAAACACAGAATGAATTTACAAGTAAATTCGCAAATTGTAACGGCCAAGCTAAATTTTTGTGCAAATGACAAATCCAAATAAGCTGCATCGTGTAACTAAACCTTTGCAAAATTTTGACATTATAAGCGCTTTTAACAAATACTGCTCGCGTTTTAGGAATTTTAGGTTGAATTTCAGCGACTAAGGAGTAGTTACTTCCCCAATGCCCTTAAAACTTCAGTCCATATTACCCAACTTCCATGGTGTCATTTGCAAGTCGAAAGTGTAGGAATTCCTCATAATGGTCTGAAATTTTCAAGCTACACGGTATCTTTTGGGTCAAAAATAACTATTCTTTGTAAGAAGAGTTTTGGCTAGATCGAAAAATTCTTTGTGTGTTTGCAAAGTTGGGTTGCAAGTAATCGTCAGCTCCAAAGAAGTAAGGCTCTCAGACTAATTAGGTGCTCTATGTGAACTAAGGCTCACAGCAGCCGTAACAATCAAAATTACTGCTTGACTGACTCAATAAATTTCTTATTCAAACCTTTGATCACTGAAACAAAGCAATACCTAATGCATATTTTAAGTGCATGTTTTGGCGACTATCTCACCTGGGCAAAAAAGCCATTAGAAAAGCAATTTTAAATCCTGCGACGGATCATGTGTTTGACAAAAAATGGTTTCAAATAATTCTGCAATAACAAAGAAATTTAACATTTATGACAATAGTCACACTCTGTAGACTTTTCAATCAACGAAATGATACCTTGAATATCAGTGGTTTTGCATTAAAAGTGGGCAATAAACATCAGGTCAAAAGCCACCGTCGCAAAGGTTTCACTAAATTATTTACAGGTGCACTATTTAAAAATTCTTTCATATGGTCACTTTGTACAAAGAACACTTCAAATTTCCCTGCAAAATCTTATCAATGCATGTTTTGCGTGTATTCTAGCTGCAGGGAATGACCTAACCTTCTATCTGCAAAAAAAATCCTCACAGCATTGAGCGTTTCAGAAAAATAAGTCACTTTGTAACTAATTCAATACATTTAATGATTTAAGCTTACAATTTGTTCCAGAAGACAGCATATAATTCGGAAAAGAAATGTCTGAATTGAAACGGCAGGCCAAAAAATAAGTAACTGCATCAAAGGACTCAAACATTAAACCAAAAAAACTGTTTTTAAAGGAACCAAACAAACAATGAAACCCATCAACTCACCCGGCTAGAAGATGAGGCTGACTTGGAAGGGTGCATGGAGGTACTTCTCATCCCTCGGGTGTTAAGAAATAGGCAAGGCGTAGAATCAAAACTAACACACTCACTATGAGGATCTTATGAAAGAATTGACTTTGCAGCCATATATATATTTTATTTTTTAAACAAAACCAATGATAATAAGGCTCACTCTTCCCTCCAATCAAATTCATCACTCGGCACCAAAAGTGCTACATGTGTGGAGTTGAGTGCATGCAAGCCATTCGACACGTCACATAATGATTACCAAATAGTCTATGCAATTCAGTCTGTCAGTAATCAGAGTAGCGGCAACCGTCGTTTTAATCTTCAAGGCGAAGGCAAATTCCAAAAAGCTGAGCACAAAAACAAGGATCTTGCCCTTTAAAATCAGTTAAAAATTATTGGCAGCAGTCATCGAAGCCTATGTGGTCGTTTTTCGCTCTCTCCACGACTTCACTAAGCCCATGCGTGTCCAATGGAATAAGCAGCTCGGCAACAAATTGACACGTCAAATTTCGAATCCATCAGCCTACTAGAAGTTAGGGAAATAGTTTAATTACCCGTCGCAGTCAAAGAAATTTTTTCACAGGTCTAGATAAACTAACTGCCACGCAATCCGTAGGGAAAAGCGATTTTCCTACTTAACTTTCTTTATTGTCACAACGCAATCTTAAGCCCATCCGCGTTCGACTTTCTTTAAATTAATTTCGAAATTCAAATAGCAGAACTTAGATAAAGATGAAGAGCATGAAAGTAATTAGTCGCAAGCTGGTATCAAGGCGTCATTGAACTATACGGTCAATCCTATAGAGTGGGGAGACGAGAATCCCAACGAATTTGGCATTTGGACTACAGGAGTAGCAGTGGGCGTAGACGACTTGGCACAGTGCCCTTAGACCGCCACGTTCAAACCGGTATTTCATCACTTGGATACAATGACAACGACACCAGTTGAAACGTGCATATAATCGCTACCAGCGACACAGTTTCCTAATTGAGACAAATGTTCAAATTGCGCGATTTAGTAAGAAATCGTATACTTGAGAGGCCTCCACTAAAACCACAGTCTACAATCCAAATGACGACAACACTGTGCATTAAATCTGAAACGGATAGAGCTGTTATTTAAAAAATAAAGGAGCATTTACTGGTTCTTTTACCAAGAATATCTCGCATTTGTTTGCTACTTCGAGTGCAAGTAATCTGCAAGGAAAACATTTAGGTTCATCCAACTGTCACAAATTGATGAAAAATACATGCGGAGGTGGGAGAGTCGACAGGTTGCGTGTACCATACACTAGCATTGAATGTGATTCTCATTTACTCTGACCGATTGCCATGAAAAGGCCATGTGATAAAAAAGTATTTCAGCACAAATGTGAGATTTTATGCATTAGGTAAAACTGTCTCCTCTCATTGCACCGATTTATGCTGCAGTGAGATGCGTAAGGAAATGTGATTTTGCGATATATCTTAATGAAAAACGGAGATAACTGCTCTGATTTAGTTAGTCTTATCACAAACTATGGCAAGGTTGGTGATCCACGCACTATATGTATAGCTGGCAAACAGTACAGTAGAAGTAAGAAATTTTGATGCACTTGAAATGTGTGCCTGAATGATAGTGCTGTGGTGCTGCTCACTTGCTAGTTTGTGTGTGCATCATAAAAATAGTAAGTCAGAGGTGTGCGTAAAGCCACACCTAACTATGAGTAAAAGAACAGTCGGCGTTAGTAAAGATATTTTAATTGTTTTCATCTAAGCCTGCGTTGTGAATAGAAAACAACGTACTCACTGTACATGAAGCGGTCCTGTTGTCGGCTTTGAGTACTAAGGTGGAATGGGTAATTTTCGAGCATATCATGCAAAGCAGATTTGTATAGAAGGCCGAAATTTTCGGCGCACAACTCTATCTTAAAATTGTCATGCTTTGAGCGAAACAGTAAGTTAGTTCACAATTAAGAGCTCACCATCAAAAAACGAGAGAAAGTGGCTGCATACGCAAAGGGGAATGCAGGTTAAATGAAGGGAAAAGTGGTAATTCCATCAGTTTTTTGTAAAATGCTATTTTGAATGATGTTCAGAGCTAAGGCTACAGTAAGGGAGATTTAGTAAACTTTGGAATACACATATGCCTATACGTGTGGATGTACTTTTTGACGGTGCAATTGAGTTCCTTCTCATTAGGTGGACGTCAACATTTAAAACTGCATGTCAGTAGAAGTGGTAAACGGACTAACAGCCCTCGAGGCTTCCTTCTATTAACTCATTTTTGCAGAACCTATCCACTATCTGCCATCGCCTCGGTCTCAGCCACAGCAACGTCTGCTGCTAATGCCAATGTCAAAGGATTGTTTCATCGCTCATTTTTATCACTAGTGCATGATGTAACCCCAAGTACTTGAAATGGCGTAGTAGAACCGACACGTCATTCCTCGCAATTCAGAAATAGTGCCACCTTCTTACCATCTTTTACTGCCAAACTATATTTGGCACTAATTCATGGCTTATTACGTCTGCTTACAAACCATCTCTTGCATTTCTGAGGCCACAATGGGTCGGTACCACAAGCAAATCCCTGAAAATTACCAAATTTTCTCTCCAGATACTCAGTTGACAACTTTGCTGTTCCCTCCTTCCCGTAGAAGAGGGATAATAAAACATCACCCAAGGAGTGATGCTACGAAAAAAAGGTTAGACCTGACAAAAGATGATGCTTTCTACTTCGCTTTTAGTGCAGCCCCAACGTAAACGAGGAATCCTACCACATGAGGCAATTCTATCACGTCTATAATGCTCCAACTTCTCCGACCCACGCTTGTGATCACACTGCACTCCACTGCACCGCGCCTAACTGCACCGCACTGCAATACACTCCGCTGAAGTGGAAAATCATTGTGGCTTAAGTGGGCGATGCGGTTCGCCTTCTCCAAAGTAAATGCCTCAAGAAGTGTATAATCAGGGGCGCGCTACCCTTCTAAAAGTGACCCTCCTTGAGCATGAAATACAGAGTGCACGCGATACCTGTTTAAGTGCGCTTAAATTCCATTCAACTTAATTGCTCATTGACCCGCCTGCTCGACCTCATCTTGACTCCGCTGCCCAAGCACAGATTGCTAAATATATGGCCGTTGTAAAGTTG